CATTTACAAACACGTGCAGATTATCTTTTACGGTTATTGAAACAATATTATGAAAATCCGGCGAATAAAAAGAAAGAGATGACGAAGAAGAAACCTCCGACAACACAAGTCTCGAATAAGAAAACGAAAATATCAGCGGAAGATAATGTTAATGGATCGAAGCGACAACGACGGACAAATGGACCAATAACGGGCCCGAATGACAAACATCCCAAATCGAAAGAAATTATTGAAAATTCCAGCGGAGACGAAGACGTAACACCGAATAAATCGATGAAAAAGAAAGTTACAACAACATCTTCTTCTTCTTCTTCTCATACTAAAACCATCGAAGAAAAAGTAAAGATATACAGAAGACATTCTCTTTTCTCACATGAAATGTCTAATTTTAGGTCGTCAAATCACAGAAAAATGACGAAGAAGGCGTTTCGAATGATATGTTTCAACAGGTAGGTACCAAATCTTCTGCCGTCGATTTCATTTCTCGTGTCGTCTTCTTCTAGTGTAAAGAATTACTTCGACCAGTCAAGAAATGGTTTAGTCGACTTGATGCACCTGAAGAAGCATTCGATTCTCGAGATGACTACAATCGAGAGTTCGAGAAATGTTTATTGAAAATTGGTGATCAAATCGAAGCGGTGCTTCAAACGAAAACCAACGATGATTATCGAACCTATCAAAGTCATCTTTGGACATTCGTATCGAAATTTACAACCAAATTAACTGATGCACAATTGAAAAAATCGTATCGAACGTTTGCGAAAAAACGAAATGATGAAAGTACCCCAGGAAATCAAACACAAAAACCTACCCAGCACCATCAACAGCATAATTCCTATTCACAATCGAATACGAAAAATCGTCCTTCGGAACAAGATGAAACCTATCGAAAAGCTGGTTGGGGATCATCTTCGCAGGCGAGTGCAAGCACCACTTCAAGTTCTAATAGTAATCGGAATATAAAAGACGTACGACTGAAACACTCGTCATCCATGCCTTTAACAAAATCTTCAAGATTTGAACAGATGAACAATACAATTGGATCGACAAATACTGGCACGACTGTTTCCGATCACGATTCCCATCATCATCATCACCATCCATATGATCGCAATCGATATCATGCTAGTGGTAGTAATACTAACAATCGAAGATCTTACCATGATTCTACCGGTGATTCTGCATCAGAATATCGTAATAACTATCATCGAGATCGAGACCGAGATCGCGATCGTGATCGGGATCGTGATCGAGACAAGTAAGACATAATTTCCTTTAAAATAATTGATTCAATTCCTCGTTTTATTCAAGTAGTTCATCTCGCGGACCACGTCGTCATGATTCTATGCCGTCACGTTATGATCAATCTTCGTATAACAATCGTTCATCATTTCAAAGCAATTTTTCTCAACCGCCTCCACCTTATGATGAATCTCGATCATCAACATTATCAAATCGATCAGGTGGAAGTAACAACAATAAAACCCGTCCATCACAAAATGCTCCACAACCTCCATCAGCACCCCCACCACCTCCACCTCCTCCACCACTTTTACCACCGCCACCGCCAACTGTGCCTGGAAATGAACTATTTCAATCAATCTACCTTCAGTACTATGATATGTACATGCAACAAGCTACTGGGCTTTCTTCCTCGTCTCAACCATCAACAGCAAATTCCATGTAAGAAATGATGATTGAGTGCTATCTTAATTGTACTGAACGATTCTTTTTTTCTCATCTAGTTCTCCGAACAGCTATGCTGAGATGGCTGCTAACTATGCTCGTCAACAAACTCAGTCATCAGCCTCTCAATCGTCAAAACAATGATTTCACTTATTCTTTCCATCTCTTCTTATTTGGTCCTCTTTTTGATGTGATACACTTGTCTCGATTGATTCTTGTTCACTCTATCTCTCTCTATTTGTGTTTGGCATGTTTTTTAGTTCTACTATCTGATTGGTTTTCCTCTGTCTCTTCTTCATATATGGAACTGTTCTCTCAGATGCGTGTAGACAAAGCAAAAAACTTATTTTCTAGGCGTGCTCGACATGTACGTATCTATTTCTTGTTGCGTACTTCGGATTTATTCATATATGTACACTCTGTTTTCTTTTTTTCTTCTTGATTCTGCGTTTCTTTTTTCTTCTGGTGTTTTTTCTTCTATCTTGTGTGCTGTTCGATCAGCCGAGATTCTTTTGTGAACGCACGAAAAGATTCAACAAAAAATAAAACAGTTATTAAAACAAATATGTTCTCATTGATGAAAAAAACAATCCATACAAATCGAGTCGTATTTCATCGGTGATCGTTGATAGGAAGAGAATAGCGCATGCTCATGTAGTGCCATCTGGAAGAAAAAATAATGACGCCGCTGCTTATCATTACAAGAATTGGATTCTTTCATTTGTCCATTCATATTTGTTATAAAATAATAAATCGAATGTAATCGATCAATTGTTATCCAATCTTTTGTATTTCGTTGATTTATGATGGTTTTTCACGGCGAATCGACGATGATTGTTGAGCAAGTGGATTCGAAATTGGAAAATCAATCGTCATCGCCATGCTTTCATCCGTCGTGTTCGCATTGTGATGTGAATTATTTAAAAACACTCAATTCCGAGATCAATCAAATAACAAACGACACCGACCTTTTCAAATACTCCTCGTCGATTCCATTCGAAAATCAACGTTTAAACTTCTATCGAATTATCGACGAATGGAGATCCGATCGTGTCGAACATGTTTCCTTTATATATCAAAAGAAGAAGAATCAAGTCGACTTAATTTGCTCTCAAACATCTCACGAATACGAACTATTTCGAATCGAACAGAAAAATTTCTTAAACGAACATCTTTTCTTTCATCCAAAAGTGCTGTATCCCGCGTTTATCCCCAATGAAATCGACGAATTGAATCAAAAACTATCTCTCACTCGACATTTACTCGATTATTTCATTCAACCCAAACTAAACCATCTGAAAACATTTCTCAACAAACAAGATCATCACGATGACGAATACGTTAACTACGAGGATGTCTTCAAACGTAAACCCATCTATGAATATCCCTTGTCCACAGATAATCTAGCAATGGCATCATCGACTTCACATATTCTATTACGAGATGGAGCACATTTGTCTTTGTATAATGAAAAAGAAAAACTTCATCAATTAGAAATCAAAGTTCAACATCCTGGAGATTTCATTCGAGATATTTGCTGGTGTGAATCTTTAGGATATTATCTTGTTCTAACTCAATATCTTCTGTTTATCTACGATCCTGATCAATTTACTTTAACACTAGTTGACAAAATCAAACCTATTGATCGAAAGAAGTTTTCCTCGCTAACTTGTTCAGATAACATTATGTTTCTAGTCAATAAGAATGGAGAATGTA